TTGGTACCAAAAAAAAAAAAAACACCGTATGAACACAAACCAGCAGGGGAGGGGGGAGCAATTGAACTCTGATTCAGACCAGGCAATCAAACCAAGTGTGAAAGCACCCTAAGTCGCTTTTAGTCATGTTGAAGTCCTGTTGAGAACCAGGGGGTTAGTTTTATAGACCTAAAACCTGGGAGAGAATTAGAATTTTTGAGCTATGCGTTTCCTTCTGGAATTCCTAGTTTTTAGAATAGCGGTTTTCGAATTATGATTAAAATTGTAGTTAATGTTACTTGAAGAGACTTTAATGTTTTGTTCTAACCTTATGCTGCATACCCATACTCATAAACTGAACACAATCACAAAACATTTCCATTTTAAAATCACATTAGAATTTCCTAAAGGAGCCTTCCAAGTTGACCGTCAAATTGTCGTCTTGACTGAACGACTCTTATTTAAATAACAAAATGCTGTTTTCATCATTAACGCATGATTACGTTTGTTTGTCTCGTAGAAAAAAGACGAGTCACAACAATTCAAAAACAGTCCAAAGCAGTCACAGTCTGTTAATGACTTACTAGGACTAGGTGAGAAGCTAACAAACACACCATACATATCAGTGCAATCACAATATAGATGCTTAATGTTGAAACTCTCTTTCCCAGATGCCCCTGCTCCTAAAGCTCCCGTGTCCAATGGCAAACCAAGCACTGAACTCAGTCCTGCCCTCGACCTCTTCAGCTCTCTGCCTGCCACCGTCAGCAGCTCAAACTCCTCCAGGAGCACGGTAAAGATTTTCATACAGTCCAGAGTTTTCACTTCATTCTTTGACTATCTTGGATCCATCTTTTGAGTGATTAATGCATGTAAACCAAGTAGTTTAAGTGTTTGTTTGTTTTTTTCCCCCACTGTAGCCTAGCTCAGGGTCCATGCCCACTGGACGGGTAGCAGCATCAATGCCCGAAAACCTCAGCCTGTTCCTGGATCCCCCCTCCAAAAGTGAGGACAGCGGAAAAAAGCTGTCTAAGGACTCAATCTTGTCCCTGTACGGCAGTACAGCACCACAAACAAACATGGCTGCTCATGGTGAGATTAGTTTCAGGATAAAGGCATATTTGAAATGACTTACATGTTGTTTTCTGTCGCTTTGTACTGTTTATGCATGTTTATCTGTTTCCGTTTTAGCTGGTATGTATATGGGAGCAACCCAGATGGGCTATGTCCCTGCTGCAGGGTACGGCCAATACCAGGCCCTGGGTGCCCAGCAGGGCATGATGGGGCCTATGATGGCACCACAGATGAACATACTGGGACATACTGCTCCTCCGTACATGGCAGGGGTGCAGGGGGGCATAATGGGAATGCAGAATGGGATGATGGGAAACATGGCAGCAGTTCCTCAGCAGGCATATGGAGCACAGCAGGCCCAACAGCTGCAGTGGAACATCAGCCAGGTAACAAGCACCGAATTCAGAATTACCATGCTGACTTGAAATGGCAAATTATTCATTTTTTTTTCCACAGTGATAGCCCAAAAATGTTTTCATGTATGTTTAATTCAAATCAAATCCATTTTGTTTGTTACTGCAAGAACACACGTTATAATGATTTTAAAATTTGAAATTCAAATTCTGTCATCATTTACTCAGCCTTATGTTGTTCCAAACGAGTATGTATGACCTTTTGTGAAACACAAAAGAAGATATTTTGAAGAATGTACAGGTTTTTCCCATGTATTTATCATGAATGGAGAGCTTTCAAGCATCAACAAACCTGCAAAAGCACAATAAAAGTATCCATAAGACTCATTCGCTATATTGTAAGCCTTCTATAATGTTATAAAATGTATAATGTTACAAAACTTTTATATTTCAAATAAATGCTGTTCTTTTGAACTTTCTATTCATAGTCAAAAAAAAAGTATCACGGTTTACACAAAAATATTAAGCAGCATAACATTTTCAACATTGATAATAATTGGAAATGTTTCTTGATCACAGCATTGTCATCACAGGAATAACTTACATTTTAAAATATATTCAAATAGAAAGCAGTTATTTTAAATTGTAATAAGATTTCACAAAATACTACTGTTTTTACTGTATTTGTTATTATGATAATTGCAGACTTAGTAAGTATAAGAGACTTCTATTATCGACCCTAAACTTTTGAACAGTATTGTTCTTACTCTTATGACTGCTAACATAATATTTCAGTTATTTAAATTTCATCTGTTTCTCACATGAAGCTGTAGTGTGGCTTATGAAGATGCAGATGCACTTTTACGATGCTTTTATCATACTTTTTTCACTCTTTTTGAAGCTTGAAAGCTTCTTTATGTCTCCTAGTTAGTTTCCTGTGGAACATGAGGCTGTGGCAATCTGCTTCCTTGAAAGCTTCAGTCCCCATTAATTGTTCTGTATTGCCAAAAACAACTGGTATAAGGTTTCTCTTTTTGCCTTCCTCTGAGGAAAAAAAAAAATCACACAGGTTTAAAACAGCATAAGGGTAAACAAAATGAAAGTGTAATCGTTATTTTCTGTTAATTAATTGCCTGTAATAACGGTTTCTGTTGTCTCTCACAGATGACTCAACACATGGCAGGAATGAATTTCTATGGTGCCAATAACATGATGGGATACGGGCAGCCCATGGGTGGGGCGGCTGCTCCCGGTTCAAATCCAATGCTCGGGTCACACGTGTGGAAGTGATATATGTCATAGAGAGAGAGTGGGACCGCGTGTCTGAATTGGTTGGCGCCACGACTGACTGACAGCTGAAGGGGAACAGATTTTAGGAGCAATCACTTTGGAGAGTCGAGTAGATGATCGCAACCGAAGCAAAGCCTCTACCTCCCTCATTCTCAGAGCCAGATTCTCATGCTTGCCTTCAAACAGTCACATACTCAGAGAGAGAAAAGAAGTGTGCGTATGCACTTCTCAGCTGAATGTTACACATTTCACAGCTTTGATGTTCCCAAATTATGCTAATTTGCTACATATGCTTGAAGATTTGGTTTTCTGTTCTCTCTTTGATCAGTGTTAAGATGTGATCACATTTACCGTTTTTGGGTGAATTTTTATGGGCAAAATCCGGTTAGGAATCCACACAATCTTGAATTTTGCGTGAGGGCGAATGATTTTGCTTGTGAATTTGCCATGTTGACCAACAGAAACCTGCTTGGTATGAAAGTGACTTTTGTGTGAGCTGTGCTTCATACTTCACTGTTGACAATATACAATTAACCTTTTTGGTCCACAGTGTTTCGCCAAAATTATGCTAATGCGACAGCATCTTTGGTTTCAGTTAACAAAGCTCGCTTCATTTCAGAAACAATTTATCATATAGATATGTGTGTAACAAAGTCTATACAGTATATCTCATCATAAGCATGTTTGCACTGCAGTCATAAATGAACAGTTGAAGCCATTTTAGTTACCATTTTTGTTAATAAGGATCTTAAACTTTGATACTGCTGAGGAAAATGTCCATTTTGTGTCTCTGCTATCAGGTTCTGCAGTGATACTCTTGTATTGTCGTCTTTCTAACGCACAGGGTACAACTAAGCCACTTTGACTTTGCTTTCTGTCACACTCGCTCTCAACTCAGGAGAAATAAAGACTTGGGAGGATAAGGGTTCTCACATCCATCTCATAGCAGGACATTTACATTCAGCCAAAGATTTATTAACGCTCAGCAGTCGGCATAGGTCTTTGGAATGATACGTTCTAGTTGGATCCATGCTGCTGTTTGTCGTTTCAGAGCACTGCGGTTTGACCTCAAGAGTGTAATAGCACCATTGATTGTATTGTGCACTGCTTTTCTCCTCATTACTGAGTGCAGGGTCACTACTGGCAAAGAGAACAAAATTTTGTGACACTGAGGCTGCAGTTTGGACTGAGACCAAATGAATGTTTCACTCTTGACTGCTGCCTGGAGAGCAGAATTTGCCATGGCCACTGTGTGAAGTTCGTTCAAAGCAGTCAGCTTGGGGTTTTATTGACTTTGCTCGCTGTTTGTTTGAGCCTAACGTCTACTTCTAGTGTAACCAAATGCAGTGAGGTTCACTCTTGATCTTATGGACCCCATTAAAACATGCTGGAAAAAAAAAAAACACCCTAAGCTGGTTTGCTGTTCTGGTTTAGCCATCACCTGCTTGGCCTGGCTGGAATACCAACAAGACCAGTTTAAACAAAGTAGATCAGCTTGAACAAGACCAGAAATCTATCTCAGACTGGTTTAGGATGTTTTGTTTAATTATTATGTTTTTTGTTCAGGGTTAAGCAGTTGTACATGCATTAAACATGTCTGTGCTTTTGTGTTTATTTTCAGGTGATGTTTTTATCTTTCATAGCCATAGAGACTCTTAAAATGTTCTGCCCAAGAAGCTGATTTTTTTTTTTCTTCCCTCAATGTATGACCGTGTATATGACCATGATTTGTAAAGGAGTTCATTGCACTATAGTTCTCTACATTTTACAATATTTGGTTGCTGTGTTTTTCACTGTTGCCCTGAATGTGAAGAATTGTTTGCTAATATTATTACGTATGCTTAGGGGATCAACTCACAATTCGATTCGATTCACAATTTTTTTTTTACAAAATGAGATTTAAGACAAATTATAAAATTAAATGTGTCCTTTTATTATTGCTTGGACAAAATGCTGCAAGTTTCTTTGTGAAATTGAAATACAACACTATAATAATATACTAATATAGCACTTGCATATTATTGCTCTTTTGTTTTGATTGCTTCTATTGTCCTCATTTGTAAGTCGCTTTGGATAAAAGCATCTGCTAAATAAAATGTAAACGTAAATAACAAAACAAGGCCCAAATAAAATAAATAACACAAATAAAATAAATATGTTCATATAAACAAAATAAGGCTTTGTCCATTTGTCTTTCCATTTAAAATTAGAGGCAGGCAACCACTGCATTTTAATCATTATCCAAACAAAGATGCTGCATACTTGCAATATGAGCATTTTTTACTCTAAATTAGATTGTATAATTTCGAAATTTGAAGCAAAAACAGAATGGTTTGACTTCAGTTTTGTGAAACTATACATAAAAATTTGTGTCTCTGCTATCAGGTTCTGCAGTGATACTCTTGTATTGTCGTCTTTCTAACGCACAGGGTACAACTAAGCCACTTTGACTTTGCTTTCTGTCACACTCGCTCTCAACTCAGGAGAAATAAAGACTTGGGAGGATAAGGGTTCTCACATCCATCTCATAGCAGGACATTTACATTCAGCCAAAGATTTATTAACGCTCAGCAGTCGGCATAGGTCTTTGGAATGATACGTTCTAGTTGGATCCATGCTGCTGTTTGTCGTTTCAGAGCACTGCGGTTTGACCTCAAGAGTGTAATAGCACCATTGATTGTATTGTGCACTGCTTTTCTCCTCATTACTGAGTGCAGGGTCACTACTGGCAAAGAGAACAAAATTTTGTGACACTGAGGCTGCAGTTTGGACTGAGACCAAATGAATGTTTCACTCTTGACTGCTGCCTGGAGAGCAGAATTTGCCATGGCCACTGTGTGAAGTTCGTTCAAAGCAGTCAGCTTGGGGTTTTATTGACTTTGCTCGCTGTTTGTTTGAGCCTAACGTCTACTTCTAGTGTAACCAAATGCAGTGAGGTTCACTCTTGATCTTATGGACCCCATTAAAACATGCTGGAAAAAAAAAAAACACCCTAAGCTGGTTTGCTGTTCTGGTTTAGCCATCACCTGCTTGGCCTGGCTGGAATACCAACAAGACCAGTTTAAACAAAGTAGATCAGCTTGAACAAGACCAGAAATCTATCTCAGACTGGTTTAGGATGTTTTGTTTAATTATTATGTTTTTTGTTCAGGGTTAAGCAGTTGTACATGCATTAAACATGTCTGTGCTTTTGTGTTTATTTTCAGGTGATGTTTTTATCTTTCATAGCCATAGAGACTCTTAAAATGTTCTGCCCAAGAAGCTGATTTTTTTTTTTCTTCCCTCAATGTATGACCGTGTATATGACCATGATTTGTAAAGGAGTTCATTGCACTATAGTTCTCTACATTTTACAATATTTGGTTGCTGTGTTTTTCACTGTTGCCCTGAATGTGAAGAATTGTTTGCTAATATTATTACGTATGCTTAGGGGATCAACTCACAATTCGATTCGATTCACAATTTTTTTTTTACAAAATGAGATTTAAGACAAATTATAAAATTAAATGTGTCCTTTTATTATTGCTTGGACAAAATGCTGCAAGTTTCTTTGTGAAATTGAAATACAACACTATAATAATATACTAATATAGCACTTGCATATTATTGCTCTTTTGTTTTGATTGCTTCTATTGTCCTCATTTGTAAGTCGCTTTGGATAAAAGCATCTGCTAAATAAAATGTAAACGTAAATAACAAAACAAGGCCCAAATAAAATAAATAACACAAATAAAATAAATATGTTCATATAAACAAAATAAGGCTTTGTCCATTTGTCTTTCCATTTAAAATTAGAGGCAGGCAACCACTGCATTTTAATCATTATCCAAACAAAGATGCTGCATACTTGCAATATGAGCATTTTTTACTCTAAATTAGATTGTATAATTTCGAAATTTGAAGCAAAAACAGAATGATTTTACTTTAGTTTTGTGAAACTATACATAAAAAATATCTGCATGAAACAAACGGCAGTCGAGCTGAATGAGACGCAGATGCACTCTCTGCCAGCAGGTGGCGCTTAAAGCGTTTCCTTGGTTTCCGCTGTAAACAAAGCAGCGCTGCACTTATGAACTTTTAATATGCATTATACAGAGGCAAGATGAAAAGACAAAATACTATCGAAAGACAGTAAGTTCCCCTCAGACATGGATTCATATAAACTCCTAACGTTACCCCTAATTGAATTGCGATTTGTTTAGCATCTCAACCGATTTGAATCGATTTTCAACCAGCTCGCGATTAACTTAATCGTTACATCCCTACTTATGCTTTTTATACCTTGGTGAATATGTGGTCTGAAATGACATGTCATTGTGGTCTTGCACATCACTGCTCGCTACTGGCCAATAAGTGATCATCAGTGATGTACAGTGGTCTTTGTATCCCATCACTTGTTGCTGAATGTCTCTTTTATTGTGCATAAAGTTTGAATTTTAATCTGCATTGCATTTTTTTAGGTTTGTATGTTTGTTTTCTTTATTCTGTTTAAATGGGACCACTCCTTTCTCATAATTAGGCACAACCTGTAAATACCATGTTTGTGAGATAATGAGACTTATAACCCTCAATATATGCTCCAAGGTTTTATCTTTAATTTAAAACTATTGCTATAATGGCACTTTATAATAGTAGCTTTTATGCATGAATCGTTCATTGAGAAAGTTTGATTAGACAACATTCAATTTGTGTGCAGGCTAGACATTCCAAAAGAGCAATCATTGGATGTTCAAACTGACGTCATATCAGTGGGCTGAAAAGTATTGCTGCTGATTTGATTCATCTCGGCAGGTGGATCTGCTTTCAACTTGAATGCATCTGTCTGGTTTTAGTGATTTGGATCATGTCATTTAAAGAAGAATGTTGTAGTGCTCTGTGTCAGGGGTGTCAAACTCAATTCCTGGAGGGCCGGAGCCCTGCAGAGTTTAGATTCAACCCTAATTAAACACACCTGATTCAACTAATAATGTCCTATAGGCTTATTTGAAAACTACATGGTTTGTGTGTTGGAGCAGGATTGGAACAAAACTCTGCAAGGCTCCGGCCCTCCAGGAATTGAGTTTGACACCCCTGCTGTAAAGCAATATGGGGTCCTGTTTAAAATTTGATTTATAATAATACATTGGCGCATAGTTAATCCGTAGAGAAGCAATCATTCTAGAGGTCTTCTACAAAATGCAACTGCTACATATACAGTGCACATTTCATAACACACATAAAATGAAAGCTTTTGTTTTAAGCGAGCGGTAAATGTTAAAAGCTCCATTGCTGTTTTCTTAGTATGCATCAAATTTTTCCTTTTTGGAATATGGAGAGCTTGTTTCCACACATGCTTGCAGACTCAAGGAAGAGACTCCGACAGCTGTGTAATGGGTTTCATCTCTCCTTTTGGTGAAACGGTGCTAAAACATCATCATGCCCACATGATGTTGTGGAGGTCTTGAACATTCTTCCTCTGTGAACTCTCACCTGAGAGGATGTAACGTCACGTAAGTGTCTGTTACACTGAAGTGGTCCCATCATTGTGGCTCACGGTGAATGTGTAATGTGGGTTACTTGCAAAGTTTGTATTTAAGCTCATTTTCAGACATGCATTACAAAGGCTTGAATGTGAAATAAGATGAGAAATAAACATCTTGACTGCAATTAAGTGATGTGATTATATAGTGTATTCTCTTTAGTGGCACAAATGCAATAAATTAATTAATAAATAACAATCATCCACACATAAGTGGATGATGAAAACTTTTTAAATATTTGGGAGGTGGAGAAATTCTTTAGAAGGTTAAGCAGTTGAAATGTATTTTTTTTCAATTTGCATATATTCAACTTAATTCGTGTTATAATGAGTGAATGAAGCGTTTTATTAAGAGCAGTGATTCAACAACGGTTGTTGTAGCCGCCTTTATGGAGAGTTTGTACTTTAGTGTGAGAAGGTAGGTAGTTTTGTTGTAGCAGTGAGATTCAATAGTTGCTGCCACTTGCACAACAACCACTAGAGGGATGGGTTGCTGTGATTTTGCCAAGTCAGACATGTTCCTGGATCACCATCTTTTGTTGATCCTGGAACATTGCTGTCCAAAAACATAACCCTATTCCTACACTTAAACCTAACCCTACCCATAATGTATCCCTAAAATCAGAGGGAAATAATAGCTGAATAACGGGTGTAGAAGCACCTAACCCTTGTTGTAAGCCTAAAACTGACATTTCCTGTAAAGTTGTTCCTCAAATCTGATTGGTTGATTGGGATGTTGTTCCAGGAACAACAAGGATCTTGATCCAGGAACATGTTGTACTTGGTGAAATCACATTCATCCAATCGGCTAGTTGGAAATTGATAAAGGTTGGAGCTTGTCGTCCATTTAGCTTTCAAATGTAAGCTTTTAAACCCTCTGGTTATGGAAATGACAAATATAAATTTAAATACAGAAATACATCGTCTTTTTTCATATTACATTTCAAAATGAATATTGCTACCCATATGCTTCGATATCTGGTATTATTCGGTCATTTAGACCAGAATTTTTATTTATTTATTAAAATCGCTGCTTTATCGGTATGGTACGATACTCGACGACTTATGGTAGTCGCTATGCGACCACAAAAAAAAAAAAAAAAAGTGGACTTGATTCGAAAAAACTAAATGGTCCTTAAAAAATAAATAAATAAAATAGTCACACTTGTGTTGTTTGTGTTGACCGCCATTGGAAATGAATGGGAAACACACAAAAATACAGAAGTTCTTTTGTGTACAATCTACAAATCATTCACAATGCAGAAAAAAGTGCAAAGTAATGAAGGGGTGACACTCTTAAAGGGGTCATATGATGCTGCTAAAAAGAACATTATTTTGTGTATTTGGTATAATGAAATGTGTATATGTGGCGTGAACATTTGGGCGGCGTTATGCAAATCTTCCCACATAGTGAGGTAGATATGTGGGGGCGTGTTAGAACGAGCCGTTTTAGGTAAGAGTGACTGACTCTTAAATTTTATAAAGAATATCTCTTTGGATTTGAGACTTTAGTCTTTGCAACTTTACAGATCTTCTTTATGCACCAAGAGCTTGTAACACTCCAAAGAGAAAGGAACAATTGAAAACGCATCATATGACCCCTTTAAAATATCAAGAGTGCAAAATGTACACACTGAGAATGGGAAAATTGTTATCCTAATTATTGCATAAATATTCATTACCATGAAATTCACTCAAAATACAAACTAAAAAAGAAAAAAATAATTACATTTATTTAACAAAAATATATTACATTGATTTTACTGAAAAAAGTTACATTTCAGGTGTTCGGTCACTTTTGACCACGAACAACACAAGTGTGACCCCCAAATGAACAATAGCAGAGGGTTAATCACGTTTTCCTCAGGTTTTACTTTAGAGCAGGGGTGTCAAACTCAGTTCCTCGAGGGCCGGAGCACTGCAGAGTCTTGTTCCAACCCTGCTCCAACACACATAGGCTACTATGTAGTTTTCAAATAAGCCTGAAGGACTTGATTAGTTGGATCAGGTGTGTTTAATTAGGGTTGAATCGAAACTCTGCAGAGCTCCGGCCCTCCAGGAATTGAGTTTGACACCCCTGCTTTAGAAGGTACTGTACTTTTAAAATACTGCCATTTAGTTGCCTGTTATCTCTGTCCGTCCCTTCTCCATTTCTCCTCTTTTGTGATATAACGATGTCGTAATGTGCGTAACAACCAGACGTCTACTTCTAGTGTAGTCACAACACAATAAACTTCTCATTTAGTGTAGGCCTACTGTGAATTCAACACAAATTTCCTTGCCAGGTGTTGCCATTCTTCTGGAAAATGGAGAAGGTGTTCCTCTATAATTTCTGGACAAACGCTAATTCGGCTAACTATTTGTCTATGCACTTTCCGTTTGTTGGTCAGTGGTCAAGGTTACCCATATTAATAAAATGCTGTAAAT